CATTTTTTATTATTGACTAGAATATTTTAGCCTAAATGCTGAAATGATCTATCACATGGGGATGGGAATAAAAACGTTTGGAACAAATGTGATTTTTTTTTTCCTATTGAAATTTTTCACTATCGTTTCCATTTAAAAAAAAATAGTTGAATAAAATAAGTACAGTACTAACAGTTAATTTAATTAAAATTAAGAAACTTTCTCCTATCAAAGGTACACAAGCAGTAATTAAAAGCATTTATTTCAGGAGTTAAAATTTTATAATTAACAGCAAAAATTTAATTTTTTAACAAATTTGCTGATTTAAATTGATTGATTATACGCGTTTACAAGCTTTCAGTTCAAACCTGTAAATATGTAAGTTTACAGGTTTGAGCTGAAGTAAAACATGTAAGTTAGAAAATTTGCATTTAAAAATTAAAAAAAATATTGCTTGTAGTACACCAAAAACTCTCCTTGACTGAAATTTGAGTTTTTCTTGATCTTCATACAGTACCATTCTACAAAGGCGTTATAAATTTCTTTATGATTTTGCAAAGCAACATTTCTGTAGATTTCTGTTCCGTGAAAGCTTTATAAATTTTTTTTTTAATTTTATAGAGAAGCATTTCTGTGCAAGATTAGTTATAAAAAAACTCCATAAGAATTTCTATTGAGCTGTATAAATTTCTACTGAGCATGATGTTCCAGGTTAAATAATTCAAACTCAATTTTCATAATTCAAAACGTGTGAAATAATTTCTATTACACTGGTTATCATAAATTAAGGAAAAATCACAAAAATAACGATAAATCCCTCAATAATAAGCCAAACCGTGTAAAATTTGAATATGTTGCCAAGTAAGACTAGCTGAGTAAAACTCCAATATGCAAATTAGTGGCGCTGCACTCGGAATACTTCATCTGCGAGGAGCATAAAAGTCCATGTTTGAGAGCAAGCGTGATAGTGACATCAGAAATCTGAGATAGCCATTTCGTAACAATGAGCTCCAGGTATCATATGCCTGCAGAACTACGACAGAAAGCCATTGGGAGACTAGAGGCAGTACAAAGTCAAACAGAAGTGGCCAGATGGCTAAATATGAGTCTTTCTGTGGTTCCTAGACTTTTGAGGCAATTTCAAATCACAGATTTGGCACCTAGGAGGTTCAGCCAAGGACGGCCAACTGCTACGACGAGCACCGATGACCGATATTTGACATTATGTTCACTCAGGAATACAATCGCTACTCCAACTCTTCTTAGATCCTCCCTTGCTACAGCCACCGGAAGGTTGGTGTCAACGTCAACTGTGTGTAGAAGGCTTCACAAAGATGGTCTGTATGCGAGGCGAACAACCATTTGCGTGCTGCTCAAGTCACGCCATAGGAGGGACCGTTTGCAGTGGGCACGGCAACATGCCACTGGACGCCTGAGCGATTGAGGGCTATTCTCTTTACGGATGAGTCCAGGTTTAGTCTAGAACGCGATAGTAGGCATTGTTTGATATGGAGAGAACCTGGACCCGTTATCATCCGTCAAACATCCGTGAAAGAGATGCATACGGAAGAGTCAGTGTCTGTTTTTGGGGTGGCATCTCTTTGGATGGACGCACAGCCCTACATGTTTTTCCAAGGAGAACCGTGAATGCTCATGTTTATAGAGATGGCATCCTTCCTTGATGCTTATGTGGCCCCATATGCCGGGGCAGTAGGCGATGCTTTCCTGTTACAGGATGACAATGCAAGACCACACAGGGCTCGCATCGTAAATGATTATCTTCAACAGGAAACAATTATGCGCATGGAGTGGCCAGCTCGATCGCCGGACTTGAATGCTATCTAGCACATTTGGGATGCTTTAGGGAGACGTCTAGCTGCTCTCAATTCGCCCCCTTTAGGCCCTTGCCGCGCTTGCAACTGCTTTGCAAGAGCAATGGCTCTCGCTTCCTATGGAACTGATAGACCGCATAATTAAAAGCATCACACATCGCTGAATGTAACATCGAATGCTTCTAGAGGCGATTATATTCCATATCGAAGGTACTTTTACTATATATAGAAAACTGACGTCTTCGATTTGTTCATTTTATACATGTGCTAATTTCTATACTACCATAATTGTTTGGTAATTTCGTTTTATGTTATTTGATACCTTACTATGTGTTGTATATTGTGGGTAAGTTTCATAAAATTCTACATGTAACTTTTTCAGTAATCGTGATTTTTGTGATTTTTCCTTAATTTATGATAACCAGTGTATTAATAATGGTAAAATACCAGTAACAATTTATCTATATTTTAAGAGAATAATGTTTGTGTAGTAAAAAGAACACTTTCTAAATAGAAGAATAAAATAAAACTTTAAAAACTTGTGAATCTAAGGTTAGAAATAGCATTATAGAAAATTAATAGCTGTGCCCTTGACTTTTATAATGATATACCAATTTATTTGTTTAACAGAGGATTTAATAATGTTTATAAATATTGGTTTATATTCAATTGAGGAGGAAAACAAACATTATGACATCTACTTCTATCACTGCTGTTATCCCGTGCTCTTTTCTTTCCTTTCTTTACTTTCCGTAGACAGTTTTGTTTTGCTCGTGGCAACAAATTTTTTCTATCGATCCACAATAAGCAAACTTTTTTCAAATAGATAGGGCCTATGCTATATTCAAAACTTGGTCAATCTGCTCCTAGATAATAGGAAGGATTTTGCACTAACAAAATTTCTTCTAGAGGCTGATAGAAATTCTGATAGATGGACATCATAGGAAATTAGTCTGTTAAGAAACACTTCTCTGTAAATTTCTACAGAAATTTCGTAAAATTTTCATGGAACAGATTTCTATAAAAATGTTATTTTGTAAAATCTGATAGAAATTTAATAAAACTTTTACATAATAATGCTCAGTAGATATCTCTAAAGTTTTTCAAATTCTAATCAAAACGAATTTTCAATTTATGATGTTTTATATAAGATGTAACTAAGTGTTGAACTATTTTTAATATTATTATTGTTTCTGATTTTTTTAGCTTCTAAATTTATGTAATGTTTAGTGCAATTTTTTAAACAGCACTGTTTTTGTTTTATAGAGTCATTAGGTTTATTTCCAAGCAAGGAACGTGAATACCTTCGCCGGTATTCGAACTTCAGACTTTTGGATTGCTAGTTGGACATGCTTCCAGTTGCACCACGAAAGCACGCATTAAGGGAGGGCACTTACAGTTTATAATAATATAATTGTGCTGTTGATTATAAAATTTTAATTTTATTTGTATATGCACCTCTGATAAGAGATGTGTTTCTTAATTTTAATTAAATTATCATTTAAAATGTATTTATACTTATTTAAATGATTTTTATAAATATAATATTGCATTTTTATTAGGAAATAAACACTCATATGTTTTGAAAGCTTTTATTTCTTCTCTCTGACTCACAGATTTTTCCAAAATTTAGGTTAAAAAATTTATTAAAAAAGTAAAATTTAATTCTATCGTTTCAATCCCAAAAGAAAATTTTGACGATTTCATAATGCTTTTAAGTGCTCAAAAGCTTCTATAGAATATTTTGCATAAAATTAAAGCAAGGAAACTCATCTAGAATACTTTAGAATCATGGCCCAATTTTCTGGATTTTCGGTTAAATTCGATTAGTTGATTCTATACACACTATATAACTATATAAGAATCTATGCTTTGAACCTTCAGAAATTATACAAATTTTTTATAGAATCTCTCTCTACACAAATCGTTATAGATTGTCTATACACAACTCTATAGAAGCTATAGCTAAAATTTTATAAAATTCTACAGAACTCTGACGAAATTTATAGAAAATTGAACCATAATTCTAAAGGATTCTAAAGAAGTTTAATACTGGATTTTTTGTAATATATAATTCTATAAGACATTTTCGTAAAGATTATTTTGTGATTCGATCTTTGATTTTTTTCAGTGTATTTGTGCAACTATATATTACGTTTATGGGAACCCTATGCACTTTGCTAATATGACAGTGTAACATCATTAAATGGGAATTTGTATTTTAAAAATTTTTGCTTTGTTGCACAGCAGTACGAATACTTATTTGGTGATTCTGTATGGCTCATTTAAGATGCTGGATTTATTGAAAGAAGCTTGCCATAGCATCAGCTGCACCGAAGCAGGAGCGTACCAAGGGAGTAAGGGGTTCCGAAGAAACTTAAATTTTTAACTTAACTCTATGTAGGAATATGAAAAAAGGAAGAAGCTAAAAAGTAGTCTGCACTGAAAACGCTAATGTTCATTGTGGGAAATTGACTTCCAAGAATCAATCCTACCTTATATTTTGCACTTAAGACTTTTTTGACAGATGTATTTCAGTTGCTTCTTTTTAGTGAAGCTTTTCGAAATTCATGCTGATTAAAAGCTATCTTCGATAAACAATGAGCGGAGTAAAACTTAACAACTTTGGCAATCCTTTCCACTGAAAATGGAACGCTAATTTCGACTAAGTTAAAAATATTAATTTGCTATAAACATTGATTTTGACGAAGCTATAAAGAATTTTTCAGAAGTCAAAGTTCGCTTAAAACAGTTTTAGCTTTTTCTATTGACAGAAAAATTAAACACACTGATTTAAATCATCAAAAATGGTAGATTAATAAGGTTTTCTAAACGTATATAAACTTGTCTGCTAGATGTAAGCTGTTTTTTGTTTTTAAGATCTTTTATTTTCGAAATCATTTTAATTATCTAATTTTTATTAAATAAATGTTAATTATATATTTGCGTTGACATTTACATGTATGGTGATTATTCCCATAATTTGGTTCCCAGACAGACTTCCACCGTGGGCCACAACATAAGTATAGGTCTGCCACTGCACTGCTCACCTAACAAAGTATTACGTAATATACACTTTCCGTTACTATTTGCCTGTTTTTTAAATGAGTGTCCAATGAAGTGTTGCCGAGAGGTTACTCAGAGAGCAAACGGTCAAAAGATGAACTGACACGTGCGGTGCGCTGTATGCGCGACCTTGAATTTACCGTCTAGTTTAAGTTTCGATTTCGGTGTACTCTCGTCCGAAATTCACGTTGATTCATTATTGGTTTAAACTGCTTTAGTGGTGGATGAAAAGAGCTGCTTAAAGTGCGGAATAATTAAAAACGATGTGGTATTTTAAGTATGTGATGATTTTTGTGTTATTTGACCAGACTCTGACCGTTACCTTAATAGACAAGAATTATGATGCATTATGGTCAGTGTATAAGGTGAGAATTTACTTGTTCTCATGTTATTTGTTATGGCGCGATAAAACCTAAATTTGCGATGGTTACAGTACGTGATGAAAGTATATATCGGTAGTATTGTATAGAATTGTTGAAATGAAATTGTATATGTTATTATAGTATATCTTAGTGAATAATTGGCAGACTAATAGTATCGCATGAATTGTTGTAATGAGTAATTTGCTTATATTTATAATCAGTAGTTAAAAGCTTATTTCTTTTGACGGTAATAATCAAAATCTCGAATAGTATTTTCCTACATAAATGAGTTTAATTTTCACTGGGAAAAACTATGGAAAAAAACAATCATAAAACAATCTCTGTAGAAAAACGCACAGACCATCAGTCAGAAGATAGGTTATCTGAAAATGGCAAAAAGACGAGGGCTATTCAATCCACCTAAGAGAAGTGATGCCGTCGTGGACGACTTTTAAGATAAATTGCCTCGCAGTTCCTGTTACACATGGGGAAATATCGGTGTGAAGAATGTGAGTGTAAATGTAGCTGCAGTTTGGATTTGAATACAAAAATATTGATTCAGTATTGCAATGTTTTTATTTGATTCAGTGTTTTTTTTATTTTATTTTTTTATAAAGTTCGTGAGCTTTGGCAAATTTAAAAGGCATGGAATGAAAAGAAGTTGCAGGGGAGGACATGCATATTTTTATTTCTGATCTTCGGAAGTAAATACAGTGTATTCTCGATTATCCGCGCTAGTTATGGGAAAGTAGGTTATGGAGAATTTACAAGCATGGATAATCAAACTTTCAATTTTCATTCTATTTTCCTACATCCTATACCGCTGCGTATTTTTTTGAAGCGCTGTTTCATCATTGAATTTACTTTGGTTGACGAAGTCAAGAGTTTCTACAGAAGTCATTATTTTGCCTTAAGACTGCTGTAATCGCCAATATTTTCTTGGCTGATCTTTGGAATATGGTAACTGGTAGTTTGGCGACATTTTGGAGGCGATAAAGGTTACTACCTAGGACTTGGTAATAATGTGAGAAGCACTCAGTTCCAATTACGCATTATTTTGTGTGAGAGAAATGAGAGATCATGAGATATGTCATGTGACATTAATGGACGAATTACAGTTGTTTAATCGGAAAAGGAGGATAATTTGGAAAAGCTTCATTGTGTGTTGTGTGAAATAGTGTTAATTTTCGGATTGCATGGCGCTATGTAAAGTGAATTCTAAATTTTTAATGCGTTTATCTGATAATAATAATAAGTTGAGATTGTGTGAAAAGAAGGATATTAGAAGATTAAAAGGCAGTGCAAGAAATATGGTGAAAATGGACGTTTTATGAAAAGGAGTGTAAGAAAGGGTACGTGGTTTGCTGAAAGTACACTCATGTCCAAAATTATGTTTACATGCATAAATTCACGGATTTCTCAGAGACTATGACTTATAATTTAATGAATTTTCGTGGAATCATACATAACATGATGACACATAAATGCAAAATAAAAAATTGAAGATCACCTCATATGATATAAAATTGTAGCATGAAACAATAAAAATGGTAATAAAGTGTGACAAAGAGGGTTAAGAAAAAAAGGAATGATTCAGAAAAAGAATCAAGTCTTACGAATTTAATATGATCTACCCTGACTTGTACACACATATCACAACGTGTTTTAAGGCTGGAAATAACGTTGTTAACCACAGTTTGGGGAATTAATCTCCACTCTCCACTCCAGCAATGCCGTCTTCAGAGCATTTACATCTCTAGGAGGAGGATGTATACGTGCAATTGCTCTTCCAAGGTAGTCTCATAAGTTCTCTATCGGGTTAAGGTCAGGAGAGTTTGGTGGCCAAGGTATTCGCTTAATGTCTTCACTTTCAAGGAATTCATCAACGAGGTTTGCTCGATATGGACGGGCATTATCATCCATAAATAAAAAGTCAGGTCCATATGCACCCCTGAAAAGTCTTACATAAGGATCTAAGACCTCATCTCGATATATCTGGCCTGTCACAGATCCGCTGCTGAACACGTGTACGGGCGTACGTCCATCGATCATTATTCCTCCCCATACCATCATACCTCCACTACCGAAATGGTCACGTTCCACAATGTTCGAGGGATCATTTCGTGTTCCTGACTCCTTCCAGATGTAAACACGTTTAGAATCACCAGTTAAACTAAACCGCGACTCATCAGTAAAGAGAACGTGGGGCCATTGATGTTCAGTCCAATTTTGATGTTTTTTACACCAATTAAAGCGATCCCTCTTTTTCTGTGAAGACAGTAAAACACATACCCTTGGCTTTCTGGCATAAAGGCCTTTTTCATTAAGCCTTCTGTATATTGTTTGCCGTGATGCAACAGTTCCAGTGGCGGCTGCAAGCTCTGAACTTAACTGGCGAGCAGTAGCCTTTCTGTTACGACGGGCAGTTAATGCCAGATACCGATCTTCAAAGCAGTTGTCATTCGTTTCCGACCTTGTCCAGGCCTCCTTACAACACTTCCATCATTTTGAAAAACTGTTTCCATAGCTTAGAGACTGTCTGTCTTGAAATATTCAGACATGTGGCTGTTTCCATGATTGACTGCCCTGCTTCTAAACGGCCGATAATTTGCCACTTTACAGATTCTTCCAAATTATACTTCAAAGCCATAACAAACTGCTTTGAGTCCCTACACACTGAAATCAAACACTATGTTGTAGAAATTCACTCAAATATTCAGTTTGCGCAAAGCGCTTGATTCACCCTTGGATGACGTAACGCCTAGATTTGCATATCACAAACCGTTTGATTACTTTTGATTGGATTAATGCTAATTAGGCTTGGTTTTCACACATTCCCTGCAAATACGGATCACATTGATTCGATATTTCATCGAATATCATCATTTTTGGGTATGTAAAGATAATTTTGGACATGAGTGTAGTTTGAGTATAGGTGAAATTTTATTAATTTCTTATTACTTGGTGAATAGACTTCCAGTTGACTACTGGATTTAGGATTTAGAAATTAGCAGTAGTACTGCAGCGACGTAATGAAGATTCTGAAAAAGATTAGGCAAGTTAGTATTTTTAATCATTTGAGGATATTATTTTTATGCATTGTTCTAAATGTAAGGAGTAAATAAATTAAAATGATAGTTATTTGAAAATTGTTATTAGCAGTGATTTAGTTTAAAGTAATTAGGATGTAATCTAATTTTTATTAATTTAATGTATGTGCTTATTTATATTTTAAGTAGTGTTTTTAATTTAATTTATATTTAATTTAATGATCGTGATTTTTGTGAGTTATATGTTTGTAGTATTTTGGAATATGCTTGAGTAGTAACGTTGGTATTTTCATGGCATTTTCGTGAAATTTTTCTAATTTATGAGAAAAAAGCAGTGTACATGGATATAGTGAAGAGTATGCGCAATGCCATTTTTGTGCAATTCTGGGATGGTTTTTTAAGTAAAAATAAGTCGACGTGTACATGGTTTAGTGATATTTTAATTAAATGATAGTTATTTTGTGAATTTTATGTTTGTAGGAATTTGGTATATGTTTTAGTTGAAGTAAACGTGCATGGAAATAATTTAAATATTTCACACTAAGTATTTGTAATGTTTGCGGTATGAATTCATTGGTGACGTTTATAATATAATAGATAATTTAGAGGTAAAAGTTTTTAGGATATTTTATTTATTTTATACGTGGAAATGTTCATATTTGGAAAGGGTATATTTTTACTTTTTCGCGATAAGGTAATTTCATATATGTTCTTTTTACCGGATTTAAAGATTCAGAAATTTGTCATGGCATTTTCGTGAATTTTTTCTAATTTATGAGAAAAAAGCAGTGTACATGGATATAGTGAAGAGTGTGCGCAATGCCATTTTTGTGGCAATTCTGGGATGTTTTTTTAAGTAAAAATAAGTCGACATGTACATGGTTTATGTGTATGTGTTATTGTGAAAAACGCGCAAGGAGTTTTCCGATTTGTGCACTTTTTCCCCAATTTTGCAGTGAATATTTGTCATGATTAAGCAGTTTTGTTAGATAAAATTTCTAGTATAAGTGTAATTTGGCTAGTAGATTGTTGGAAAAAGTGTTCAGTAAATAAAAAGAAAAGAAACATGTCTTTACTTCGTGAAGACAAAATGGCGGCGGAAAAAAAAAAAAAAAAATAGAGGGTTGCTGTAGCAGAGTTGGTCGCGAAATTTTCGCCAAGTTACCATAATCCAAAGATCAACCATCTTCTTCACTCATATTTTCAGTATCATTGTTTTGTGACATTTGAATTTTGTGTTTTGTGATTTTCAAGCTTCATCTGCTATTGAAACAATAGTTAACATCTTTAACCGCAGTTTCTTTGTCTTTAGGCATCTTCTCGTACTTCTTCAGATGTCTTTCTTTTCGTTGTTAAGCGTCTTTCGTCTTACGAGCATCATCTCTCTCTCTCTTTTTTTACTTTTTGCCTTCATACAAAAATATATAATTTACTTCTTTTTCTTCTTCAATTTTCTTCTCTCTGTGGGCTCCGGTGCTTCTCAATTTTTAAGATAAATTACGATTTTAGCCAGAGCGCACCGGAGCCCTAAATAAGATGAGCTCCGATACTTCTTTTTATAAAACTGAACACAATTTAAAGGGAACAAATTTAGAATTCCTAACATTTTAGTTTAAAAATAAGCAGACCTTGCAATACTCTATTTCCCTAGAAATAAACTCATGAGAACATGAGACGTTCAAGTAAAGTCCCCTCACTCACATGCGGAAACCAAGTGGAAGAAAATGCATGCGGAAGAAAAGCAATAAATTTGGGGGAGTTTGTTTAGGAACGGCTAAATTTCTCGCCATGCCATTGTATCTAGTGTATTGTTACCGATGCTTACAGTTAGTTATCCTCGCAGGAAGGAAAATTTGTGTTCTTAAATGTGCGTTAAGTGACAGCGAGTACAATAAGAGTGAAATACTGAGATAAACTGCTCAAGCACGTCCTATACACCATCTTCCCACGGTA